CACTACTAGCTCAATTCGAAATAATTGACGGCTTTTCGGTTACAATCGAAGTACCAAAAGCCCCAAAAACATTGTCGTTTGTTTTTAGGCTTTTGGTACTTCGATTGTAACCGAAAAGCCGTCAATTATTTCGAATTGAGCTAGTAGTGGATTTTGAAGAACGCACTTCATTCTAGAAAACAAGACGCTTTCCAGGATTCTACCATATTCTTTCCGGATATTATAGGATAGACGAAAAGAGAAAAAACGGGAACACATAGAGATTCCGGTAGCAGAGTTACGCGTTTTGTATGTTAAACAACTTCGATTCGCGGCGAATTTTAAGCAAACAAATTCAAAATTAGTTCATTTTGTAGAGAACTTTTAGCTGCATTTCTCATGTGAATTGCACATCATTCAGACTTGACCTGAATTATCTAATGAGAAATTACGAAAATTAAAACGGATAGTCATTTTCTCTCTATACATGCTTTGGGGTAATTATGATCAATCCATGAGGATTACACAGAATAAACAAAAGAATTTGACGTGCGCCGGTCTCCAGAAGTCGGCTTTTAGTCTAATTCAAGTGAAAAATGTGGGTTTTGAAAAAGATTTCTGAAAGCCCTAAAAATCATCTTTTTCTAAATTTCACATTTTAATTAAAATTTTTAAGGTTGTCCTTTTTAACAGACATGAGCTATGTTGAGCAGAGCATTCGGATCAGAATGAGATGTCCAGCAGGTTTCTACGACTTCGTCTTGCAGAGTTATACTAGTTTTGCTAAAGGCGCTGAACTATTATTAATGAAGTGATGACGTCATTGCTTAGAATATGGTTTTGGCACAGCAGAGTTGTATCAACTTCTAGACGATTCGTCGTAAAATCTTCATTCTTTTCTTATTTTGAAGCTAACATATTTATCTAAAGTTTGATCCGCGGCGAGTTTTCTATACAGAGATAAGTGGTAAATACTCCGCCAAATTAGGGTTATTTTCAGAAGTCTGACTTAAAATATGTGTAGGAAATGAATGAAAGCGAAATTCAAAAATCACCGTGGATCAAATTTTAGATTTAGGTGTCTGCTTTCATTCCAGGCCTCTCGCAGCTTTCTGCACCTTCCGACAAAAAAGCCTTTACGTTATTGCTAAGAGCTTATATAAAAAATGGTACAAATGCCCACTCACTATACAGATCAGTTTTTCGTACGACGTTATCTAACTCTTGTTTCAAAATATGCATAGATTTATTGTTTAACTTTTTTTTCTTCATTTTCGGTCACATGAAGGGTGGCTCGGAAGTCCTGTCTCATTCAGTATTTTCTCAATATCTCGGTCAAAGTTTATCGCCAAGCCTCAATCTTTTTTCTAAAAAAAGCTTATTCAATTCTCTACACAAAACATATTGAACATTTCTTTATATACTATGAGAATAAAAAATATAGAGGAAATACGCGAAAGTTTCAATATCGACTACTTTCAAGTCCGAAGCGCAATCAAAAAATATTTATTTTGAACACGGTGCTATGCATCAAAGTGGAATCGACATGCATTTTCTGGTGCTCCAGAATGTCAGCTTTCTTTTCTTGTATTGTAAGTTCGCTACAAACCTTCTTTTCAAAGAATTATTTTGCTTGAAGATAAACCAGATCTAATGTGGCTTGGACCAGTAATTACATTGCTGCTACGTAATTAACTATGTTGACATTAGTAGATTTTTCATTCAATTAAAGTAAGAAGTCTTCTCGTAAGGATTGGTCCAGACTAATTTGCCAGTCTTTCAAAGACATTTTTTCTTAAGTTAAGCTTGATGAAAAAATTTCGTTTTGATGCCAAAAGGTAGTGAATTTTGTCTAGATTTCATTCATATCCTGTATTAAAATTACGCATGCATCGTTCTTTTATGACAGTAAAAGTACTGGAAGTCCGAAAATCTCAAGTGTGCACCATTTCACCGGAAAAGAAATGCGTTTTATCTTGTAAAGAGGTTTTGTACGTGTTATTCAAACACAGTACGAAAAACTACAATAAATGCTTAATATTTGAGGCACAAAATTTTTCCAGAAACATTAGGGCCGTAAAAATAGGTTACAACAATTGCCTTATTATTTGTATTTGATACCATTCGCTCTAAAGGGAGAATATTTCAGCTGTCATCCATTGCCAAAATGGTGCAACCCATAGAGAGAAACGCATTCTGCAGAGCTTGGAATTCTGTATCTTTTGACACTAAAACGGTAATTTCTATAGGTCAAAGTTTTGAGAAAAACTCCAAAATGACTTACTGCTCCATTATACGAACATGTTCTTTTTTATGTTTTGCATTTTACAGAACACAAAAAAATAAGAGTATAGGAAAGAACGTACTACTAAATACAACGAGAATCTCTGCGCCTTTCATATTATGAAAAGCATTTTAGTTAAACTAAAACTAACGAGGTAGGTCCACCAACTGTCCAGTCGTGCTTGAGATGAAACCTAGTGGATGATAGGTAATCGACCATGCTGATCCCGAATATCCACATGAGACGGATAGTTAGGGCTCCAAAGACCCATTTTCGGGAAAATCAGTTTTTCAGAAACTCTTAAACATAACCAAAACCTTTCTTAATGAGGTGTGATTGTAGTCCGCAAATTTCTAATTAAAATGAGATATCTCCCAGCTCTACACGACCTTTCTTTACATAGTTATAGAATTTACAAGAAAAGCCCTAAATGTTCATTGTCAGCTCAGAGCTACAGAAATAAGAAGATGTCAGCTCAGAGCTACAGAAATAAGAAGAAATTAATTTAAAGCTTTTCTTGTAAACTCTGTAACTTTGCAAAGAAAAGGCATACAGAATTGGGAGATGTCTCATTTTAATCAAAAATTTGCGAGCTACAATCATGTCTCATTAAGAAAGGTTTTGATTATTTTTTAGAATTTCTGAAAAACTGGCTTTCCAGAAAACGGATCTCTGGAGGCCTAACTGCCCGTCTCATAACGGTATTCGGAATCAGCACGGTCGATTACCTATCACCCACTAGGTTTCGTCTCAAAAGCGATTGGACAGTTGGAGGGCATCCCTCGTAAGTTTCAGAACTGGACTTGAATGGACAAAAGCTAATTTTCAAAAGTTTCTGATTACGCATTTGAACAATTAATCAGTTTTAGGGCGCTGAGTATTTTTACTGTTACAGAAGAACGATGCATGCGTAATTTTAAAACACTATATGAATGAAATCTAGACAAAATTCACCACCTTTTGGCATAAAAACGGAATTAGTTTATCATGCTTAACTTAAGGAAAAAACTTTTTGAAAGACCGACAATTTAATCGGGACCACCCATTATAACTGACTAGCTTGAGGCATATTATAGAAGACATGTCATATTTTCACATACACAAGTCTTTAAACGTTCTCGTCGTAAAATGAGCTAATTGATTCTGATAGTTAGCGTGTAAAAAGTGTACAAATGGTTTAAAAAGCTAAAACTGAAGTTTGTATAATCATATGTTGGCAGTTAATCGGAATCATTGTACCTCAGCCTTCTCTTGATCGTTCATTAGCAATAAATTTCCTTTTTTGATATCAATAAAACCAAATTTATAAATAACATCGTAGGTGATGTAATACGTTTCATTGCACATGTATGCCGACATACTTGCTTTATTTAAACCGGATATCTCCTTGTCGTAACTATTTACATACGCGATTAATTTATTGGTATCTAATACTGATTTTAAATGAAAATTTATTTTCTGATCAGTATCATTAACAGTAGAAGTATCACGTTTTATCGGTATAGCTTCAGCATCTGACACTATTTTTTTAATCGATTTTTTATTTTCATAAGAATAAACTGCGTCACCACCTTCTTCGTCCGCACTCATACCAGATGCATCCGAAATTAGTTTAAGCGTGTACAAATTCAAACTTGAATTTTCATTGAAGTCGACTATATCTATTACATCGTTTAATCAAGGTTTCAAATCAAATTTATTCCATAAATGTTTACGAATCAATTCATACATGTATTCATTACGATCAAAATTCAAATTTTTCCATGGATACTGTTCTTCAGGCATAAATGACTCTAGACCACGAATTGTTAATTTATCATTCATACTCGTTTGATATGAAATTCTTTACAGCAGCATCATCCATGTCTACAATATTACAATCAACACTGAATTTTTTAATTATTTCATCGAGCTCTTTCTCATAATAATTTTGATCATCAGGAAAGCTAGCCAACGAAATACGATCGAAATGATAGTCAGACATACCAAACAGGTCATTGTAAAAGCTCATTCAAACAAGAAAACTAAATTATTCAGCATTTGATGCTGAATCAGAAAAGACAACGTTAGTTGTTAGTTGTTTTTTGAATTTTTTGAATCAGAAAAGAGTCTCAGAAAAAATCAAGTCATATATATTCTGAATCGCCTTGAAGTCCTTTATCCAACGGTGTATGCTGAATGCAAAAATAAATTCCATTGCAAGTTTGCTTTGTGTGCATCTTAAAATTTCCATATAGTTGTACACATGAGAAACCGGTAGAAAAGGAGAGGAGGGACGTCATTAGAACTGGACATAATATGACGTCACAAAAAATAGAAAAGAACATGGCGTACACTGATCGAGGCAATATGGCGTTAGTAGAACAGGAAGAAAGAAGAAAAGTTGCTATTCTAAACATATGATAATATATGATTTCTTTATGTCTTTATGATATAACCGTACGTTATTACTTAAAGTTCCATGCTTTTTTTAATTATGATCTCGTGCCTCCATGCAGTTTTAGGGGAAAATAATCACTATTATTCTATAGAAATACGGTTTGAATATGTTATCGGTATAAAGTCATTTTTTATGGTGATCTCGAGCTCTTCTTCGTGTAAACGGGAACTATCTCAATCACCAGGAATATTTTGAGTACTCGAAAATATGCTTTCGATGGGCCCTCGCCGTATTTTCGAATACTCGCTGCACCTCTCGAACAACTTTTCTCATCAGCATGCGTAGAATACAGCCAAGTTACTGCTATCAGAAAGATTACAATCTAAGTTAAAAGACGTTGTTTTGTTTTCTAAATTATTAATATCTTTTTTCAAGCTTTCTTATCCTCATTAGCGTAGTCAGTATTGAATGATTCGATTGTACTTTTCTGATCCGAACGCTTTGGAACGAAGACCAATATATGAGATCGTTTGGAAGGCGGTATCGTGAATTTTATTGTTAAATCATCTTAATCGGAACATTTGGAACACTATCAACTGAGAAAACTAATCTACAGACTCGACCATTTTTCATTTTCTACTCACTTTTGTGCTCGTCCCTACATAAACCAAGGGATTGGTAGCACGTGAATTCCTAATTTATACTAGTGTTTAGTTTTGACAGCTAGTCATGAGTTCGCAGTAGCACAAGCAGAAACAAGCAATTAAACAGGTGCACAGCTAATACAGAAATGACTAAAGGATTAGTAACATATTCTGCCGCGTATTCATATAACACACTAACTCTTTAAAATCTATTCAAAATCCTCTTTTAGCCATTCAAAAACCATTGGGTTTGTTCAGCTCTTCAAACTCTATCGATAACCTATCTTATCTTAAAATACCATGACATGCTTTTAAAACGTTGAAAAACGAACTAAAATATAAACTTTAGTATGTGGGTTTCTGAAAAACCTTCAGAAAACCATTTTTATCCAAGGTCTGGAACACACCAACTGTCCAGATATGTTCAGTTTTTTGAACCCTATCCAACCATGTTCTTGAAAATGTTCCAGCTAGCTTGCGAACGCGGAGAGTACAGTTTTAAAAATCGGAATGGCTATTGACACCCCCGGGGTGGCAGCAAGAAGCTATTGGCAGTACAAAGACTGGCAACAAGGAGCTATTGACACCCCGTCGAACTGGCAACAAGAGCTACTGACAGTCCAAAATGCACTTACACACTGCATAAATGTGTTATTCAAAATGTTATGTTGAATTAGTTCCGAAATTGACGGCCTATGATAGGTGATTTCGGGTGGGTCGGGTGGCTGTGCATGAGAGTGAGCCACTGGAATACTTCCATGTTACCTGGAGATGATGGTCTTTATTAAATAACACATTTTTGCAGTGTATAAGTGTATTCTGGACTGTCAATAGCTCCTTGCTGCCAGTTCGATGGAGTGTCAATAGCCCCTTGGCCATATTGTATGAAAAGTTTGTAATTAACATATAACACATTTTGTCCGATTCCAATGCCACCATATTGTACATATCTGTTCTTACATGTGCGAAACTTATTTTTGCATATATTTTTGCTATAGGTAGATTTTTTGTGATTTTTTTTTATCATTTTGTTGCGTATGGCTGTATACGTATATACAAATAAAGATACGTGATCTAAAAGATGAAGATTAATGGTTTTCTAGAAAAACCATTAAAAAAAAGTTAAAAATTATTGAAAAGAAGTCTATTTGTTGACTTACTTTTGTTCATTTGTTTTAACAAAAAGCTAGCTCCAAAGTAGTTTTCTGACTGTATATTTCCATTCTGGACTTAAATTTGTCCTAAGCTGTCTGTTGTTTAACGATTTTTTTCCTAAGCAACTTCGATTCTTTTTTGTCAAGAAACTTATAAATATATAAATATTTAACCAGACTATAAAATTTGAATCGTATCATCGGAGTTGCAGAAGTTGGTTTTCAGTTGCTGAAAAGCGTTTCTTCGTGTTCCGCACATTTGATAACCAGAAGATTTTCTATTTCTGGTAACTTCGAAACGTTTAGGAAAAATTTCCAAACTAATATTACTTTCGTATTGAAATTTTCCTTCTCCATTTGTTTCAAAATTTTTCATAAAATTTGAGAAGCACCCCTCGCCAAAAACAAAAAATCTTCTGGGCTATGAAGTGTACTGAACGCGAAAAAACACTTTCAGCAACTCAGAACTAACGTTATTTTTTGCTCCGGTGATATGCTGCAAAAACTGTAAATACCTAAATATCTGAATAGTTAACTAGTCTATAAAGTTTGAACTTGTACAGACGACGCACTCAGACGCGTCTTTGAAATTTCTCGTGGTAAAGCGCGTTTTCTTTAATCGAAAGCGCCAGACGCGTCGTATCATGACGTGCGTGACAATTTTTTTCAGAAAAAACGCGTTCAGACGCCTCATTATTAACAAAAATTCCCGACGCGTCTGGGAGACTTCTCTCGCCTAAGCGTGTTTTTTCTACAAACAATACTAGACGTGCCAAGGAGCGACGCGTTTAAAAAACACGTTCAGACACGTCTGTTTAAACAAAAATTCCGGTCACGGTACGACGCGTTTAGACGCGTGTGAGAAATTTTTTCTGAAAAAAAACGCGTTTGGACACGTCTTTTCAGACGCAATGAAGTTACATGGTAGTATGGCATACTTTTTAAGAATAATTTTATTATTATCCTACTCCAAGCCTGATCCTTATCGTAAACGCTCGAAGTTATGGACAGTACATTACAAGAGTCTATCGTTTGCTGCACTGCATTCATCAGCAATGAATGTTAGCCGTTGGTTGAAAGATGTATATGAAGACTCATCGTGGTTACTGTTTGATAATGACTCTTAGCCAAAGAATGAAGACAGTTTGCGATTGATTCCAAATGAGTAACATCATTCAGACCAATTCTATCCCTTGACTCGAGAATATCTTTTTCCATGTCTTCATCAGAGTTTTCATCAGAGAGTATACTGAGACCATCTTGTTAGAATCACCGACTATTCCCCGAATCGGCTCTTCAACGAACACGATCCCGACTCTTCCGCCAGCTTTAAATAGATGTTAAGGAAACCAACAAAACAACGGGTATTACTGAATGTACTCGTTAAAAAAGTTTTAAAATAGTTTCAACTTGAAATATCGACGTACCAGATAAGTACCCGCAAAGCTGAACCAAATTCACACTAGCTGATGTAGATATCTTTTATGTGCAACCACTTTTCGAATTCACTCTCACACTGCCCTCCCCAGTCGTGTCACGATCTTGTTGCGCTTAAGTGTCGGCGCGGTAGTATCACACAGGGAAATGTCTTTGCGTTGAAGCGTCAGGCACGAAAATGTCGTGCGCAGAAAAGTCGGTGTGGAAATGTCGTGTCACGTTAAAGTCACATTCGAAAGGTAAAAGTGGAACTTTTACGTCAAAAGTCATTGGAGATGATGAAAATCCTTCCATATACAACTGAATGTTATTATGCTAGAAAAACTCTTCATATTGAAAGTTTTTTTCGAAATTTTAAAAATCGGACAAAAAATCTGGAAACTTAAACAAGCTTGGAGACGTATACTCTAAAGTAACCTCTACAGACTGCTGGCAAAAATAGCATGTTCGTAACGTTCTGACCAGATGTGCGTTGTATTATATCCGAAATATTAACTCAGATGTTAGCAGGGCTACCAGACAGTGGTAGATCTCAGCAATTGCTAGCCGAACCGTTTCACCTGAGCCAGATTCAGCATTGATTTATTACAAGTCAAACATTTGCTCCGTTCCGCGACCAAATATTTCGAAAGACCCCTTCATTTTCAGAATGAAATAGTAGCATGAATGAACATTTAATGTACCGCTTTTTAAGTTATCACATTACTTATAAGCTCAGTTTCTTACACAACCCTTGATCATATGTTTCTTCGAATTATAGCTTCTGTTCCAACCACATCCATCGCTGCGACAAGTAAGTCACAGTTTTACCGTTAAAAGTCCATGCGAGAGGTAAAACCTGCTATCCATAATATTTACATTTTGTTCCTGCAGCAGCAGAGCTTGCATAAAAAATGTCCATAATAAGAGCAGATTATTTATACAAAACAGACTTAAAATTGAATGCTGCTGACCTAGACTCACCATTGTCTTACTAGGCGTCAAACATTTCCCACGTTCATCGACGAAATATTGTCACCCTAGCGATAAGCACACTCGCTTACATAAACCTTGAATATCTGTTTTTCTAAATTAAAATAAACTCAGTTTCTTACACGAATAGTGACCATTCGTTTTTTCAAATTATACCATATGTTCAGACTTCAGCGACTGCCGTAACAAGTAAGTCAGACTTTTAGCTTTTATGCCTTCGGAAGAAATTATCAGAGATGAAACTAAAGTTGTTTTTCTCATGAAATCGCGACTTTCCATCTCTGCTACGTTTAGCGACTTAAATAAATTGTTTTTTCAATTTATAGCTTCTGTTCTTACTTCATACAGAGTATGTATTTTTTTGTAGCTGCAATGGTTAAACAGCTGTGAGTAGGTGTGGCACTTTTCCGTTATCGTTACTGTAACGGGTAACAGCAATCCGTTACCTGTTACCAGTAACGGGTAATGAAAATCCGTTACTTGTGTTACTTCTGGAAAGGTAAAGGTTCTTAGGTGTCTTGTTAGTTGTTAAGTTTGCACATGTGAAGATCTGTGAACTCTATTAGAAGTGAAAGCGGACATCTCAGATCTATCTTCGACGTATTAACGATGTATCAATTATGTGCAACCTTTACATCTAAGAAAACACGTATGTGTGACAGAACGAGACTTTTCCGTTTCGTTTATTTTTCTCTTTACCAGTCTATTTCTTAGACGATGAAGAACAAAAAAAATCTTTGGCTGAAAAAGTCTTTTACGTTACTTTTCGTTACTTTACGAAGTAAAGTAATGGACTTTAATTACCGTTACTGGTAACAGGAAAAGGTTTTTTGTTACAGTTACTGGTAACGGGTAACGATTTTCAGTTACCAGGTACGAGTAATAGGTGATGGATTTTCGTTACCGTTACTGGTAACAGGTAACGGAAAGCCAGTAAAGGAACGGGAACGTGCCACCCCTAGTTGTGAGATAATAACAATCAGTGATTCGTTGTCTTTATATTTTATTAACTTGACCGATTTCGAATTCTTCTTCAGACATTAACAAAAAACTGTACGAAATTCACATTCCACCATGCGCAGCACGATAAATCACCAGAACATCGAAAGACATTTCATTCCATTATATCATTGTTTTTTTATTTATATATTTTTTGTATATGAAAGAAGAGACCTTCCAGTTCATTTCATACAGTTTTTTGTTCAACCGTCGCGGTTACAAAAAATACATACTCTGGGCGACTTTCCATCTCTACTACGTTCAGCGACTTACATAGTAAGTAAGACTTACAAAGTATTGCTATAAATGTGTAGAATAAATAATAATAAAAATGTTTGTATTCATTATCTCAGTGGCTCTAGAGCCTTTTACGGGGAAAATGTCTACATCCTATCCGATTCTCGTTTTACATTCCTTTTTTCTTTTGTATGTTGTCTTTCAGAGTAGAAAGCGTTTGAACTGATTGTCAGCATCAGCTTCGTTTCACTATTTATTAGAATTTAGCGTTAGAAAGAATTATTATAAGTTGTTCAAATTTTATCATTTTGTGTTACATACCGATAAGATCAATGTTTTGTATCTTCGAGGACGAAGAAGAACAAAGGAAAACTCATTAAAATCAGCTGAATTTAACAATCTGTTGTTGAAGAAAACGAAAAATTTTGCACTAATAGGCAAAATACAGCATCCGATATAAACGATCTGTTTGGGATAAAAATATCTCTTCTATTTCGATTCAAAATATTTTCTCAGAGAATGCACAGCAACAAATTTCGCACAGAAGGAGGCGATACATCGTATTTCTGCATATAAATAATAACAAGAAAATAAAATAAGGATGAATGATACTTTTACTTGTTTTAGAAATTTATTTTCTTTTGCACTGTAAAAAATAAAGTGTGTAAATGACACACATAACGTGAACGCCATGTCGATTCCCAGTGACCGTCTAGAATGCATGGCGTAGGTGTGTAAAATACACGCTGAGAAGTGATCACCTGGCTTTATACACTGAGACCAATGATATAGCCTGCTTATCTAAACTGTTGGTACGGGAAATGCCTCAAATTCATCAACCGATTGTTCAAGTCTATCATATGGTGATGTTTCTTTTTCACTTTTTTTCTCATCTGTTTTTGTTGAAAACAACAGCATATATACTTTCGAAGGTGGTGATCATTTTTTTTTGATTACTTTTTCATTTGATGCAGTAATTCGGGAGAAAAATGGAAAATATTTAACACACCTAGCTCTTTACACACTGAGATTGACCATCTAGAAAAGGTGCACACTTTTCGATGTGAGTGAACGTTTAGAAGATTTACACATCTAGTAACACACTTTATTTTTTACAGTGTGGTGGGGAAGGAAGGTGCAACTGAAGTGCACAGTGAAATCAATGTTTAGCGACATTGGAAGCTGGTAGCGGCTCATGTTTTCCTTTAAACTTGCAACAAATGCGACATATGACTTTAGTTTAATGTTTGCACTTCACTCATTTCCCACAGATTATCATACAAAGCAACGAGTACATGCATAAAAAATATTAAGAAATACAATACACAAAAAGAACTACTGCATACTATTCGTCTTTCCCATTCTCTCCTGTCATCTCAATGCTAGAGTGACTACCCTGTACTTTCTCGTTGTTGGGGTGTTCTCCTTCAACTCGATTCGACAGTGGCCGACATTTCTTCACAATCAACGACAACAAAGGAATCAACATGAGTTTGCATATGAGAAATATGAGCCCAAATATCTCGAGTACAACTATAGTGAAAAGCAAATTATGAAAAATAACTTCGGCCTGCTTAGCAATAGGCGCTTGCTCATTTTTAATGTAGTATGGCGTCTCACTAATGTATATAGTTAAATTAGTCTCAGTCGACGTCGCATAAGCATAGTTGCTCTCCGACACAAACGCGTAGTAGTTATTGATGTTGAACGTCGGAATCCACAAACCACTCAGTTTCGACTCATCACCAATCAAAGCAATCGTTTCATTGACCACTTTTGTTATTTGCATGGTTACCTCAACATTCTGAGCCAGTATATTATCAGATAAATTGAACGGTTGATAAAACTCCAGATCTTTGAGTATCATGTCCTCCTCTTCCTCCCCAGTACCAGAGAGACCGATACGCAGACCACCAATAATTTGGATATCTGGTAGAACAAATCGAATAGTGATCCCCTTATAGGGAAGAACGACACCAACGGATAAGATGTAACCAGAATATCTGCAAGAGGTTATTGAAATAGTTTGCCACAAACTTCCAAGTAGAAGGAAGGCACTGATTAGACTATTACACGAGAAAATAGTATTGACAAAGTCGACGTTCAACGTGAACTCTTGTTCATTTAACAAATTAAAAATTTTCTGCTCTTCTGTACTCAATGGAACAGCTAACGACTGAAGAGTTGTCTCAAATTTTGCATTTCGGATCGTCGTGTCGCAAGCAAAATTCGATGGCCCCGCTGTTTCAACAGGATACTGCGAGTAATAACCGTTGCTGAAGACGTATGCGAAAATTAGAAGAACAACGACGGAGAACGACACGAGTCCGCCGATCCACTGCTCTCCTTCACTGATCAAATCAGCTCGCTTAAAAATGTATGTTAACTTTTTTTGCGTTTCAACTCCTTTTGGATGTTTGATGCAATGTTTCAATAAAGTCATCAAAGCCATAATGAGAACAGCTAAAATACCGATCATGAGAGCCCAAAATATAGGTGAAACGCTGATGCAGTGGGACGTGGGACCGATACCGAACATGTTTTGAATCAATATATCGTCGAAGACTGTATTTTCTGGAGATTTTGGGTAAGCGCCAGCCTGAGTAATGATACTCAGACCACTCGAATTAACATCACTCACGGCTCCCAAGGAGCAAAAAGTGCTTACAGCACAACTTACACATGACGTGCTAGAATTACCGGAATTTTTTGTACCTGCAGGACAGAGAGAACAAGGTCGAATGCTCGCCTGATCCTTGTATGTGCCAGCTATACACGCAGCCTGATCAGAAAACGCGGGTAGACTCTGTGTCTCCGAACCCGTGGTAGAAGAATAGAAACCAGCCGGACTTGATAAAATGACAAAAGTGTTTCCGTAAATATCTAGAAAAACTAGATGAGTTGGTGTCGAAATAATATTCAGGAATGATGGATCCATATTGATGGAGAGAGCCTGTTGACTATTCGGGAAAATAGATACAGGAGTCGAGGCATTAGTAAAGTTATCGTAGATGTATATGTTTGATGACAACCACGAATAACTGAATGTGTAACTATTTACTAGAATCGCTATTGAAGTACCTGTGAAACCTAACCAAGCAACGCCTTTCCCAAAGCCGAGTGATCTTCCGTTATCTCGCCACGTTACTAGAGTCATGGTTGTGCCATTAGTTGAAAACAAAAAGACAGAATTCATTGATTGAATGCCGACCAGAACCTGTCCGATAGTATTGATCGCCACCGACATATCGTACTTAGCTGCATACTGATCTGCTCCGGCATTCGTCTGTCCTGCTTGCCAAGTACCAGTGACTGTGTATGTCCATGACGATAGCACAGTCGGTGCAGTGCTCACAGTCATGTCAAATAGGTACACAAACGGACTAAATTTGATTCGAGAGTTTTGTCCATTATCAACAAAACCCGCAACCACACCGTACTCCTCTCTACAGTCCACAGCATGAGGCATAAACGTAGAATTTGGCCAGAAAGAACTACCTGGCCACCAACTAAGGTTCTGTGACTCTACGTCGTAAGAAAACGAAAAATTATTAGAAAAGCCGTACGCCGCTAATCCTAACGGATCCACAGCAAGTGTCAGATACTCTTGATGTGGATGGGGACTTGTGATATAGTTAACATCGTACTGGAACTGATCGCAGTCAACAACGGTGGCATTTGATAGTGTTATATTATCAGTGTAACTCAACATACCCACGAATGTTCGATTTAAGTATTCGTCTTCCTCAATATTTGTTAATTCCCCGACAAAGAAAAAATAGAGTTGACTTGATGACTGGTTTTTACCAATAGCCACGGCGTAGATGTACTGGGATGAAGCGTTGAAATCGATCGCACAGAATAAATTAGTTGATTGAACAACATTACTGCTGTATGGAGCGAATTGAATGTAGAATTGTTGATAGTCGTTTAGGGCTTCTACGATGAGATTGTCATTAGCGGCTACTTTCAAGCCGTAAGCGTCATAATTACTGGTATCGGGATCAAACAGGCTACCATCAAGTGAACGAGTCAATAAAACAAAAATAATCGATAATACTAAAGTCATCTGTCTGCTGAGTAGTAGAGATGATTTGCCAGAAGAATAAACGTTGAATATTATCGTTTAATTATATTATTCGTTTAATAACACATTTTTCTAGGGCAAAAACAAATATTTTCGTTTTTACTAACTTTAAATGTAAGCAGTAACTTAACTACGTGTTTATCATCTGAGTACACTCTCTGCCTTACTTCACCTATTCTGTTTTAGAATAGAAACATTGGATGAATTTAAAGTCTACACAAGAGACAATAATATCATAGGCAAAACCGACTCAATTTTCCCCTTATTGAGTTTCTAAGTGGATCTGTAGAAGTCTGATCATCAAGTCTAGAGATCCTGGTCTGGTTAGTTTATAGCACTCATCGAGTTGCTTCAGTGGAAAAGTTTTAGAACTCCGGAAGAAGTTTTAAATGAGTTTGAAAAAGTTTACTATCAAAAAACCTGATTAAGTCAGATATTTCACTGTAATTGATATTAATATATCCCTAACTCCCTTAAAACTTCTTCCCGAGTTCTAAGACTTTTCCACTAAATTAACTCGATGAACGCTATAAACTGATCAGACCAGAATCTTTAGCTTTGTATATTCATAATGAGTCTCTACTGACCAGACTTCTTACTCAATGACTCAACTCAACCATGAGAATGTAATGCTTTTTAAATTTCTGATAAACACTCAGGATTACAGAGCTACAACTCAACGTCGGCTTAGTCAATAGACGTGCAAATATAAAACTGTTACTCACTTATTGCTCCTTTGTTACTCGTATTCAAAATTCTCAGTTTGTGAAGTCTATTGAAGCGTGTGTAAAAGTCTTTTACTTGTTTCTCAAATAAAATATATAGGATGAATTTGTTTCCATAAATTTATTTTTCTACTTTCATAGTGTTTTCTTAAATTAAAATAAAATAACGCTTCGAGGATGTGCACTAAAAATAATTAAAAGTTATTTGTAGAAAAAATTAGAAAAGTATGTTTTGCTTAAAACTGATAAAAAACTAATTGTCTAAGACTCAAAAATAGTGTAGATGCAATGATACAATTGTTGTCGGTGAACGTTAAGAGAAGTGCTAAGGGGTGTAAACAAAAACTCCGTAATTCATAGAAAAACATTGATAATTTTTCATTCTGCAAAAAAATATTTTCTGCGAATAACTTTTAATTATTTTCAGTGCACTTCCTCGAAGCATAATTTTATTTTAATTTAAGAAAATATCAAGAATGGCAGTAGAAAAATAAACTTATGGAAACATTCAATTAATGAATTCTGTCTGTTTGTTTTCAATTGATGATTCATCCATGACTCTAGTACTAAAACATGCCTGTCCTTATATTAAGGTCGACAAACAGTAAAAGTCTAATTAGACAGATGCACGTCTACAATATTTAATAATATATATTTTTTATTTCTTATTTAATGTTGACTACAATGATAAAAAAAATTAGTTTTACAAGTTAATTGAAAATGGTAGTGATGGCATCAATGTTTAAGCGTGGACGTTAATAGTTTTATGACGAATTTCGAAAATTATCCTTGTTGATCTTATCATACATCTGGCCAGTAAACGTGAAAAGAATGCTGATATTGATCAAAAAATGGCGATTGTTTTTCCGATTTTTAACAAAATTTGAATGTCAAAAGTGACTGAAAGTTGGAGAAAAATGTATTTATTGAATTCGTCCAAATACGAGAATTGGTTGTCTTCCACTATCATATCACCGACAAAAGAATAAAGTTCATTGCCAAACAGCCCGAGACTGGAATTTAACCCTTCCCGAAGCTGTTGTTACATCACCCACAATAAAGTCGTTTGAAACAAAGCGCTCAAGCACTATTTTGAGCTTTAATTGTTTTAGAATAAGGTGGCAAAGTTTATTGGTTCTCAGAACATTTTTTGCCTTCCCAGTAGCATACTTTTGTTTTTATTTATATAAAGATGTATATTTGTGTTCCTTTTTTTGTTTTCACTATCTAGGTCATCCCAGAGGTAAATACTCGTTCGACATGGACGTCCGAACCAGCACGCGTCAAAACGGAGTGATCCATTTTGTAACTGTATCTAGTTTTTCGTGTTAAGAGCTATCGCATTGAGTCATACGAGGAAAGAATCGCCCTGAAACAAGCTTTAAAAGTATATGTGCCGATTTTTGAAATTCATCTTCTTTGCGGCGAAAAACGACTTTGTTTGGAACGAAGCGAAAAAGGGTCGGGTCATTCTCGACTAAGTCTCGATGTTTTCGTCTAAATTTAATGGAAATGGCGTCAAATAGGCAAAAAACAATGGCGAATTCACCGGAAACGTTTTTAAAATTTTCAAAAACCATTCAGAGGGTTTTCCAGAGATCGGATCTCCAGAAAACCTTCTCAACAATCAGACTTTTTTAAAATGGTCTAGAGGGATAGAGAATTGAATTCTGAATAAAGTAAGGCATTTTCGAGCCTTTTGTGACTTCTCGGTAAAGAGAAACGTCCAAAAAACTAAAAAACAGAATTCGAGATTTTTTATTCACCATCGTTGTAATTTTTACTAAAACATATCAAGAAAAGTTTTTTACTGGTGTCAAGAATAACTACTTTTTGCTGAAACCAAATGTAAAAACAGCCCCTGAAAATTGTATGAATGGATCTGATCTCCTTATAAATTTTCAAGTTACTTTCTTGTGGCTTCGAAACGCTTTCTAAAAGTCAGATTTTCTGAAAATCGAGATTTTGCGTGTAATAATTAGGGCTTTCAGCAAAAGCATCACATAAAATACGAAGTGAATGAGATTAGATTTTGTTTTATATCAGACTGTAGAAAATTGAATGGAGATCATTTTATAGTTCAAAAATTGGAAAAAAGTTCATCTGTTAATCCAAGAATTGACAATTAACGCTGGTTTTCTGACAGTGCTCTGATAAACGATGACTTCTTCTAATAAAAGGAAATGTATTGTACACCATTCGAAAGAGCGTTTCAACTACCCTCAGATGTAATAATCGGCCATCTTTTAAGCTTATCTTTAAACGAGAAAAGAATTACGGAAAATGGAGCAACTGATTGAGAATAAGCTGACATCCCATACTATTCAGAAGTACTCAATGAAACAGTCTAAGGAACAGCGAAAAATCGAAGCTATGAAATTGAAAAATATAGTTAGAATTTTCTAGCTTACAATACAACTTTAAAAAGATTACTTTTATGATAGAGCTCGGTTTTTGAGGCTTTTTAGGTCTTCACAGTTTTTCGCATTTTTCTCCATGCAGAAAGAGCTTTTAAAAGCTGAGAAGGTGATATCTGAGATCAGCTCGATGCGACGAATCAGATTATGTATAATAAAGTCAGAAAAATGTTTTACTGCAATTTTGAATTAGCTACACCTTACTTATAATGAAAGTAATTTACGTAAGAAGAAATTTTCATATTTAAACATTAAGTAAGAAGCTCCGCCAGAAAACCGACCTACGTACTGTGAGGCTGTCCAGAGGAAAATTTTACTTTATTTTTATTTATGTCTCATTCGAAAGAGCATACAAAATAACCACTAACTCCGCAATAACTCTTTCTGAAAGTGCTTTTTTAAAAAACTAGAGGCCTAGCACCCTGTTGAGGGACACTCTTGCTACCGAAAAACGTGACTTTTCACAAATTTTCTCATTTTCTGATTTTATGAAAAACTCAAACTTCTATCATTCATTTATGGCTCATTTGAAAGAGAAATGTTTACTCTATCAGATCATATATTTAGACATAATAATATGTTTAACTATTAACAAAATGGTTGGTTATAAAAATTGGTTTCTATTATTTAGTCCTAGATAGTTAAACATATTATTAAATGAATGATAAGGGATTTTATGGGTTACGTCCATAGAAATCTACTATATCAAATATAAAACTAGATATTTCCACTAAAATTTTCCGAGTATCTAAATTAGGGTAGAGGCTCTCGATGTTATGGCAACAAACGGACAAGTTCCGTCTTGCAGACTTCTTACTGTTTAGAATGTTTATAATTGTCTCTGTAGTTAGTGTAGAGTTACCGTTGTATCAGTTTTGGGATGTTATCAAATGTTCAAGATGTTGTTTCAGTTTTGAAATTACATGGTCATATCCTACACCATTCATATGAATTCTATCGTATAACATATTTTTCTTTAATTCCATGTCGAATGTGTTTACGTTATCAAACAATAAGGTGTCAATTCCATCATTGAACTTCTTTGCATCTCTCATGATATCATTTGTACGATAACTTTGTTTTGATCTGTATGGTATTTTATAGACTGTTATTTTCTTCCTTGGATAGAATTTATTTGTAACATCTAGTAATATTTATATTTTTTCAATTGCATGATCTGGTGGTTCTTCGTCAAGGTTGTTTGTGCCAACTATAAACGTTATTGTGTCCGCCGATTTAATGAGAGAATCAAACTCCCAGTTATTGATCGCACATGCGGCACCGTTAATCGTTTTGTCATGAAGAGTTCTAATCTGAGTCGTGGACGAGGGAGAAGAGAGATCTGATGGGACAATAGCGCTCCCCAGACTATCACAAACCAGTAAATGATGATGTATCTTTTCTTTTTTCTTTACACTTTTACTTGACGAATTTTGACTATCTAATAAATCTGATGTATTTTGTTGTCTGGGCGCAGTTGCCTGGAAACATGTGATAAATATGATGGTTCAGCTATCGTTGCATTTGAAGATGGCACAATAGTTACAGGAATTGAAGATGTAATCGGTAACGCGAGTGGACTGGCATGTCAATCGAGTTTCTGTTGAAGTTTGTCTACCGTTGATACAAGTTTATCAGTTAATATTGTTGACGTTTCTTGCTGAGTAGAAAAACTCGACAATAAATTAGTTAAGTTTTGATTTGTTTTAACAACTGAATTTTGTCTCGACTATCATACGTAGGTCCGAATTTCTCTTATTTGATTGTGTAAGATCGTTTGTCAGGTGCTGAATTGTTTCTTCCAAAGAGTTCATTTTTGATTTTAGTCGTCTAATTAATTCCACCAACTCTTCTTTCACCAAATCCGTAACTTGCTTTTTTGACGTATCTCCAATACTTTGGATATACTCAATAGCAATTTGATTAAATGAATACGTTGCCATCATGACAATGAGTTGTGGTTTAAATTTTGACAATTGAACAATAGAAGCGGATAGAAACCAAGAAGAACTGATTTAATTATCTGATTAAACATTGATAGAGAACTTTATGGACTACAACATTCTCCGTTGAAACGAAGTTGTTTAAGTTCGTTCCAGCCATTTGACTGTCATTACCCCAACGGTATACGTTGACTGATCATAATTCCCCCAAATGGGGCGATTAAGAACAGTTGATACCGGCTCGCTCGAAATTGATGAGTACTAATTAACACTAATGAATTTTAAGATAATTTTTACATCAATCGATAGTAGGGATGAGCGGTAACGGTAAAGGATTTTTTACCGAAGTTTACCACGGTAAAATGTTGAGAGTTTTTACCGGTTTGCATTTACCGCGGTAAAAACCTGAAGTTGTTACCCAAGCGTCGGTAACGGTAACACATTTTTACCGTTAACGCTCATCCCTAATCGATAGGTAAGACTCAGCTCAACGTATCTGTGAAATATCCGTTTTTTTTTGGTGAAAAATAGCTGCAGAACTTCAAGAATACTGAGAAATTTTTTATCCTGATCACAATTACCCCAGGCTACTCTGTCTCATACTGATTAGTAACAAATGTACTTCAAAAACAAATCCTATCTGAAGTGATCCTACCTTCAAGTAGATGCCCACAAATTCCAGAGAACGTTATCAATCGGACTGCCACCTGGAGAAATGCAAAACGCAGAAAGCTGAGCGTTTTTGTTATTACTTATCTCATACTTTGTTTTTCCTGAAGACATTGATATTATACGGTCATCGATATAAGTAATTATTATTGAATTGCAGCTGAAGGAATGAGTTTATCCAATCGTTTGTCTAAGTCCATATGTCTAAAATGAAAAATAATTGAAAATTTCCATCTCTTTTTTCAAAACCAATAGAGGCCAAAAAGCAAAATAGGTGACAAGTCGAGTAAGGATTAGTCAAAAATAAAAAGCAATAAAATGTTTGATTAGCTAGGGGTAAGAACACCAGTTAACGGTCATCCTTCTGATCAGAAGCTTCAAATTTTTGTATTCACTTGAGCAAAGGTTAGAAATACATCATCAGATGCAGGTTTTCACGCTGATTACAAATCTGAACTGAAAAATAAATTGAAGTTAAATTTTCATAGTAAAAATTTAAATTTAAAAACTAACTTAATTTCCATACCTTGATATTTCTTCAAAAGGCCTCGAAACTATACCTTTGGATAGAGAATCGAACTCTCTACAAAATGCCTGATTTATTTTTAATATTTGGTACTTATTTCGTGAGTAATTTTCTGCCCATTTGATCTGATTTTGGAACTTTATTTTTGGCTGCATCTGATAGAGAGCACCTTAAACAACGTGTCTATTTGCAAATCAGAGCTTGCTAAGTAGTTCTATAAGAGAAAAAATATATACCAAACTATCTGCAAAGTGTACAAAGAATGGTGGAGAGCGTATTTTCGTATTTTTCTATATTAGAGCCACGAGCCAAACTTCGAGAGCCGGCTGACAAATGTTTTTTTAGTGAGCCAAAGTCTGCAAACCCTAACGAGCTTCGACATGTTCGAAGGACAAATCGATTCTAAAGCAGAACAAAAATGTTTCTTGAAACATGTTAATACATAATGAATTTATCATAAAATGAGTGTGTAACTTATTTAGCATATTTTATGTGTAAAACGTACATACAGAGGTTGTTACCACTGCTTTGTTTTACCTTTTCTTCTTTTTCCTTTTGCATAGATTTATCAAACTACGGACATTGTCTCAAGAAGTAAATTTTCGTACCACAGTTACCATAAGGGGAAAAAAAAGAAGATAAAAAGAAGTCACTGGTCTGCCAAAAACTAAATATTTATTGTTCTTGTATTTGATGACGATTACTGTTCAAACCATTCATCTAATTCATCTAAATTATAGGCATAACTATCTTGATCTGGCTGTGTTTTAAATACTAGTTTTCCATTGTGTATAATATAGAATCGAAATGACCATACACCATACGTTGAATGAAATGTGTTATCCATATTATCAATTAATACTGGCATTTCTAATTTAAATTCGTTACAAAAGCGATTAGCTATTTCTAAACGTTCTGCCACTATATTCGGTTGATTATTACAGGATATTGTTTTTCCAATATTGGCCCTTGATCTTTTGCATGTGCTTCAGCTATATATAATGCAATTAAATTAATATATTGCTTATGAGGTGCATACATTGTATTCAATCGATCAATGGCAGTGCGAAACGGTGGTCATGTACTTGATCCAGCAACAAGAATCATTGTACGATGATTTAGACATCTTTGTAATGTTGTTTGTTCACCATTTAGCTTATACAAATCAATATCAATCATCGGCTCATCAACATTCATTTTACCTTGTGTTATACGATTATATTTGATGTAAAATGCGGATTGTACAATTGGATCATCAGGAAAACGTGCAAGAGCTGTACGAAGTGCATTGACATGCTTATATCCACATTTTTCAACGACAGATTGTTGTAAATAATCATGAATCAACGTAACAGCATGTTCATTTTCATGATAAAAATCCATCAATTGTTGTACAGATTCAGATAATCTTAAGTGTGTTTCATAACAATCATTTTTGTACAATTTCTAATGGTGCTAAATCACCGGATAAATTATTTTTATCTTCATTAGATGCTGTCAATTCATTTGCATCTTGATCATAAATGAATGAGCCTTGTGTTTTCTCTTTTAATACATCAAAATCTCAATGACCAGATGATGGAAAAAACATTTGATTCCCAAATGATATGATTGAGTCAATATTCAATCGTGATCGTTGTGGTGATATCTTCATCTTGAGTGTTTTTGCTCCTTTATATTTAATTTCTGTTTCTTTTACGGACTTTTCGTTTGTTTCAAGAATTGAATGTTTGGGCTGTCGTTTTGGGTATACCGAAAAAAGTTAAAAAGAAAAATATTAAACGACTAATATTGAAAATCAGTTAAATATTTTCTATCTTATTTAAATATTTTTCTATCTGAACAAATAAATATTTTTCTTGTTGTAAGATAGAAAAATATTTAAATAAGGTTCAAAAGTCAGATTTCGCATATTTGTATCTTCTTGGTAGGTTCAAATTGCGACATCAGTTCCTTCATTTAGAATGAGATAAACGAGATAGAAAAATATGGAAGTTTTTTGTATAAGATAATATACAGATAGAAAAACATTTATAGTTATTTTAAAATAAAGGAAAAATATTTAGATAAAGAAAAATATTGAACGAACTAATATTTAAATAAGATGGAAAAATATTTAATCGATTTTTAATATTAGTCTATAGACCCGTTGTTTTGAACTATACCAAAAATATAATAAAATAGACTAGTCTCTTTCTACTTTATGGTGACCGTCAAATTCTTTCGTGTCTCAACGCTTTTTCTGAAGTAGTAACTCAGTGTTTCGTGCTTTTAAGTTAATATACTTTAGATGGCTGGAATAAACGTAACGGACTTTGTTTGTTTGTCATGCACAAAAAATATTACTATCACGTGTAATTTATGCAACTCGGTATCTTCGAACGCAAGAGCGTTTTCACAACACGTTAGTACAATGTTTGAAACGTTGAAGAGAAAACAAAACGTAATTATAAGTATCAATAAAATTCACCTATATTCATTATTTTCAGATTTTTATTTTAAAATATTATCTATTGATAGTTAAATTTCCACTATAGTCAGTCAGTCTATCATCAGTCAATGATCAGATCAAATTTTATAATGTCAAATCTAACATGTATATCAGATTATTACATCATATTTATCAATCGTTAATAGTATAGAATTTTTTCTTTTTCTTCTATGTCTATCAATTGACATCATGTCCAATAATATTTTTATATATTTCTCATTTATACTCAAGAGTGAAATTCTATCGATATTGTGTACAATATTAAAAAAATATATACAACTATTTTTTATAATAATTAATTTCAAAAAAAAAGAAATAAAATACAGTTTTTGAACAATCGAAACTGTAAGAAATATGTATTGAAAATTATTGTCTGTTACATCGAAACGACGGTAGAATGATTGAATTTAATATTTCTATTCAATATGAATAGAAGGTGCTCTTTCTCGCAGGTGACTTCAACTCCAAGATCGGTGTAAATATACCCAATACACAATGCGTCGGGCGATTTGGGCGCGGTAGACGCAACCCAAACGGGTAAGCTCTCGTCGAGTTCGCCGAATCGCATGACCTCATAGCGACTAACACCAGGTTCGCCCACAAAGCAAGCCACATCACGACATGGCAGGGTCAAAGGCTCGACAAAAACACCGGCAATGTTGTACCAATCTACAACCAAATCGACTACATTTTCACGCCCAAGAAGCACATCCACCTCACTACAA